CGTTGGGCGAAAATTGCGTTAACTGAAGCTCGCTTGTTTTATTCCTGTTGATTTTCTTTTGTTTGAACATTTTCTTTTGTCAATAGATTTCTTATGTTATCAGTGTATCAGGAATATTTGTAGATTATCTATCTTCCAATACAATCCAGACTAACACACACACACACACACACACACAAACACACACACACACACACACACACACACACACACACACACACACACACACACACACACGTCAGAAGGAAGACAATGATGATTAATTAAGTGGCTATGATTAATCAAAATGATCAGGGTCAAGCAAGACATTACATAAAAGTGAGTAATGTAATTGAAATAGTTCAGAAAATGTTCATAATTGAACCGGAACATCCCAAATTTAAAAAAAAAAAACAGGCAACGAACCAACAGAATTAGGAACATAGATATATAAGCTGAGGTGAGAAAACGATTAGAGAACTGGATAAAACAGAAGTTTGTCTTAAAAAAATATCCCCCCAAAGAACCTTTTATCTTAAAACGTTTTTAAACCTTTTATTTTAAATAAATCTTGTATTCCCCAAAGAACCTTTTATCTTAAAAGGTTTTAAACCTTTTATTTTAAATAAATCTTGTATTCCCCAAAGAACCTTTAATTATGGGGGCATCTTTATGAGGAATGGTAGAAATGGTTCTATCATTCCCCATTAATTAAGGAGGGGGGGGGGGGGGAATGAGGAGCTCAACAATTGAGCTCCTTTGAGTTGTTGTTGTTGAGATCTCAACAAGATCTCACTTGACAAACTGGAGTCGTAGGCAAGAGAACTATCAGGGGTGAAATCGCCAAGCCATTACGACTATATAGCACTGAGAAAGGGGTCAGGATAAAGATTTAGGATGGGACGAAAGGGACAGGAATGGTGCCCAACCACTTAATAAAGGACTGGTAAACACCGGTCGTTACCACTGTATTTAATATAGAGAACAATCAAGGCCATACTTCACGTTATTTAGTGGAGTATGCAACATTCCTTTCAAGGTAGTGAGAGAGGATAATGATAAGAAATTTAGTATTCCAAAAGATACAAACCTTTTGTCTCAACACCAAAATGGGATCAGTGAAGGCAAATGGTGTATAATAGAGCCATTAGAGTGTCATGACGAGGCAATGACAGTAAAGCAGGAACGGAAATGATAGTGTCTTTCTCTCAGGATTAACAAGGCATTTAACACAAGAGTCTGCCATAGAAAGTTGAGGTTCAAGCAGGATCTAAATTGAATTAGAGAGTGTCTCTCTCTGAAAAGACATTACGGTGATTTTAAAGGCTGTAGAAGGGAGAAAAGTCACTATAGGTGTTCCACAAAGGTCAGGTCATAGGCCTATCCTATTCTTCGTAAATGTAAAAGATCTACAAATATATGTTCGTAGACGATACATGATTGATGAAGATCCATATAACACGAAGATTGTAAATAGATGCAGGACAAACTTGATTAGATTCAGGGATGGTCTGACAAATGACTACTTGACTTAAACCTAGATAAATGCAAGTTAATGAGAATTGGGGACGGCGCAAAAACACACACACAAAGAACAAATCGAATTTAAAGGGATATAAATCCCTTAAACTGCCAAAGAGCAGACCGTATAAGTGTAAACAGTGTCAAAGAGAAACATATGTAGTAGACATAATAGAGGGAAAAACAAATTGGCTAGAAAGGCGGGGTCCAAGAGCTAATAGCTCGATCCAACAGATACAGATAGTGAATAGAGAATGGTCCAGGACGGACCGAAACGTCGTCGTCCCTTCAACTTCTAGTGTGTGGTCTGGTCAACACAGATAGTGAAAACATACTTACAGTTCATATCGAGTTCGACCGCGGTCTCCTTAGTGGGCGCGAGGTCGTGGTTGGTGGCCTGACAGGTGTAGGTAGACCGCAAATCTTCCTTCTTCAACGCTCGTAGATTTATAGTGTTGACTACGATGGGTCCCGGCTCCACCCCGTCCCTACTCGAGCTGTTGGATATTACAGTCGCTCTACTGCAACACACACATAAAGTACATGCTTTTAGATCCCATGAAACAGGAATATGAGAGAGGAAAATGATATAGGAAATAGTATCTAAGTGTTAATTTATGCTTGATGCTTGGGTAAAGATGCCTGCCTGTGTCTTGGGCACTTATCTCACTTCTGTATAGCTGGATTAGGTCTCTCTCTCTCTCTCTTTCTCTCTCTCTCTCTCTCTCTCTCTCTCTCTCTCTCTCTCTCTCTCTCTCCTCTCTCTATCTATCTATCTATCTATCTATCTATCTATCTATCTATCTATCTATCTATCTATCTATATATATATTTTATAACCTAGAAGGGGTACCACCTATGGTATATATATATATATATATATATATATATATATATATATATATATATATATATATATATATATAATATACAGTACGAAATATAAATACCAAAGGATTAGGAGGGTTCATACAGGTGCGTAAGCCTATGTACAAGTATACGAAGTTGTCGCACCTGGAGAGACAGGACCTGGGCCCAGGGGACTCACCTGGGTAAAGACTGGTGGTGGTAGGTGCCGTCCACGAGCCGTCCATCCCTCCACCAGGTGACGGCAGGTGGCGGGTCGCCCCCTTGCACCCTACAGGTGAGGGAGGGCCGTTGGCCCACCGTATATGGGCCCGCTGCACCCACTAGTTCCATCCCATTCTCATCCATAATGCTCACACTCCCCACCGGCTCTGTGTGTGGGAGTGTACAAAGGTCCATCAGTGTACATGTGTGTGTACACGGTACATGTACAAGTCGTGTATAAGTCTACACATCTGTTCCCGACACATGGCGACTAGTAGATCTGCTAGTAGATCATCTACTGGTTATCTACTACAAGATCCAGGCTCACTAACAGACGACCATTCGTGTATAGTTGCTATTATATAACAAGACCCGAAATATTAATACCCAAAATATCAATACCCAATATATTAATGCCTCAACCAAATATCAATACCCAAAATGATTAATATTCTAAATCTAGTCAATTTAGTCTAATCTTCAATCTAGTCTTCATTTTCTACTAGATATAAAAATGCTCCGGAATAGTGACCACATATTCAATGCCCAATCAAATTCATATCATGATTGGAACGTCTATTGAAATTTCGTTGAAAAATAGTGATGTAATAGATTTTCTGTACATTGAAAAAACTAAATTTACATCTTAGTAAGAAGCAAGTCTGTTTTGTTGATACTCTGACTACATTACTACTCTATCTCATGAATAGAATATCATTTGACAAGCTCCCGGCTTCCTGTCCTCGTCAAGGCCACTAGAGAGACAGTGGGCCCTCTCAGGTAATCTCAGGTAAAGTCAGTCGATATGCCTCTTAGCTTAGCTGCTCATCCTAACTGAACGTCTAATATATTAATAATACTAATGTCGATTCTGTTGGGTTGTTATTGTATGAACCTAATCGTCCCTTGTGGCTACTGAACGATGCACTGGGCGACGCACTTGCTGACGCACTGGAGCGACGCACTTACCGACGTACGTCAGCTGACTAAGGAACAGCTTGTTCCCACTTTGTAAACCATGTACATATTGCCTTAATCCTAATCCATTTAATTTTCCTACGAATGCCTTATTCAAATTCCATTTTCAATTTTTCCTTTGAAATTGTGCATTATTTGATTTAATTATAATTTGTATTGAGAAAAACCGATTGGAGTAATGTGGGGATTCGAACCAGCTACCTAGGTATTCCCAGTCGGACACTTTACCCTTGGACCAGGGTAACATAAACGTGTCACATGCAGGTCAAGGGTTCGAATCCCCTCATTGCTTCAATAGATTTTCCACTTGATATATATCAGGTTAGTCTAATTTCCCTGTGATTAATTTTTATTGTCATTATATTATTATAATTTTAGTTATATATTTTAATATAAATATATATTAATATGATATTTTTCAACACTTTCTAGAAAACCATTTTCATTAATATAGCGTCAGATATATTATATTTTACCTTAATCATCATATATTATATATTTTATATGATGAAGCCTATCAACCCTCTAGAGGTTGATAGGCCTTAAAACTATTTTCATTAATATAGCGTCAGATATATTAGGCCTATATTTTACCTTAATCATCATATAAGAGATTATATATTTTATATGATAAGGCCTATCAACCCTCTAGAGGTTGATAGGCCTTAAAACTATTTTCATTAATATAGCGTCAGATATATTAGGCCTATATTTTACCTTAATCATCATATAAGAGATTATATATTTTATATGATAAGGCCTATCAACCCTCTAGAGGTTGATAGGCCTTAAAAACTATTTTCATTAATATAGCGTCAGATATATTAGGCCTATATTTTACCTTAATCATCATATAAGAGATTATATATTTTATATGATAAGGCCTATCAACCCTCTAGAGGTTGATAGGCCTTAACCAGCAACAAAGCAACACGAGCAACACATTATGCAACTCTAACTTGCAACACTTGATAACACAAGTTCGCAATATCAGACCTGCAGCCCTCATGCTTAAGTGCTTAACTGAAAAGTTTTAAAACGTTATTAAACTTTCAGTATTAAATTTATGCACTTGACACTGACATTGCGGCCGTTATTGAATCATTTTTTTGCGTTAATATTTCCATTAGAGTCGCTGGATTTTGTATTCGTTATGAATTATAATTTAGCTGATAATTATTAATTTTTTTAATTTAATTAAAAATCTTAATCAGAGCGTTTGCTGCTGGCAAAACGAAGTTGTATAACTTGGAGAAAACACCATATCTTAATTGATTTATTAATTAATTGATTTATTAATTAATTGATTTATTAATTAATTGATTTATTAAAGTCTTTTGTTAGAGCTATGGGTCAATTAATAGGTCAAAGTGTCATTGAAAATTCCTAGCACTGGAACTACATTTACCACTCTAACGATGGTGACTTTAATTGCCTTGTTTGTGTACTGTTGACAATGACCTTCAACTACGATCTATATTCCATTAAATTAAATGGGATATCTTGGACAATGATCTATATCAGAGGGGCCTTTGTCTGAATGGGGGGGCCTGACAGTTGAGTGGACAGCACTCGGGATTCGTAGTCCTGAGGTTCCGGGTTCTATCCCCGGTGGAGGTGGAAACAATTGGGCAGAGTTTCTTTCATCCTGATGCACCTGTTCGCCTGGCAGTAAATAGGTACCTGGGAGTTAGACACCTGCTACGGGCTGCTTCCTGGGGGGAAGGGGGGGGTGTAACAAAAAAGAAGGCCTGGTCGAGGACCGGGCCGCGGGAACACTAATCCCCGAAATCATCTCAAGATAACCTGACAGTGTCCTATGTTTCATGTAGTGAACACACACACTAGTGTAGTGAACACACACACTAGTGTAGTGAACACACACATTGGTGTAGTGAACACACACATTGGTGTAGTGAACACACACACTAGTGTAGTGAACACACACATTGGTGTAGTGAACACACACACATTGGTGTAGTGAACACACACACTAGTGTAGTGAACACACACATTGGTGTAGTGAACACACACACTAGTGTAGTGAGCACACACATTGGTGTAGTGAACACACACACTAGTGTAGTGAACACACACATTGGTGTAGTGAACACACACACATTGGTGTAGTGAACTCACACACTAGTGTAGTGAACACGCACACTAGTGTAGTGAACACACACATTGGTGTAGTGAACACACACATACTAGTGTAGTGAACACACACATACTAGTGTAGTGAACACACACACACTAGTATAGTGAACACACACACTAGTGTAGTGAACACACACACTAGTATAGTGAACACCCACACTAGTATAGTGAACACACACATTGGTGTAGTGAACACACACACTAGTGTAGTGAACACCCACAATCGAGTAAGGACAGTTAATCACAGCAAGATTGCAATTGAAGCTTTTCCCTCCAATTCTTAATTAATCCTTGGCGTGCGGCACCAGGGAATCCTGTAGTCTTGGCTATATGTTGCAGAGAAAACAAATGTTGCAATATGAAGTTTTTCACCGAAATGTTAGATATCTGTTATCCTGTTATCTGCAAGATAACCCATACTGGCACCTTATAGTGCACAAGATACGTCAAGACTCACTGGGAACGGTAAGTAGCGGCTGGAACACGTATAGACGGAACACGTTATCACTGTCTGGATATCTTCTTGAGGTTATCTTGAGATGATTATCTTGAGAAGGCCTCGACCAGGCCTCCATTTTGTTACACATCCCCAAGAAGCAGCCCGTAGCAGCTGTCTAACTCCCAGGTACCTATTTACTGCTAGGTGTACAGGAGCATCAGGGCGAAAAAATCTCTGCCCATTTGTTTCCGCCTCCGCCAGGAAATGGAACTAAAACCTTAGGATTACGAATACCGAGCGCTGTCCACTCAGCCATCAGGCCCCTTGGTGAACTAAATGACAGTGCAACGTTTATATATCATCGTTTATATATCGTTTATATTATATAGCCCTATATATCATCGATAAACTAGGTAGGCTGCCTAGGTTCGTATGCTTGTAGGTAGGGGAAATACAGTGAAAGCTGTATTTTCTAAATTAAAATAAAAAGCTGTATTTTTTAAATACAGTAAAAGCTGTAAGTATAAAAGAGAGAACTTCACAAGTTTCTGCTAAAGTTAGCAGATCAACCTGACTGTGATGGCTATGTGGCCATGCGAAGTACAAAGATCAACAACCTCATAGACCAGGCCAAGGGAGGCTGCTCCCCCAGTCTGCAACACGAGAAAAACTATCGAAATGGTCACAGGTAATCTACAGGTCATCGCAGAACCGGTTTGCAAACCTGCCCTTATCGTCTATCTATGCCGTCAACTATCACCTTGAATTAATCCAATAGTGAGACACATACCATTCCACTTAAGGAGGATATTTTACCCTATATATCAAACACTTCTTAGACACCCAACTCACTCAGCTGAAGAGCATGAAAGTGACGATGTTTCTGTTAGTTTTGGACCAATATACTACTTGATCATCGTCCAGGATGGACCGAAACGTTGCATTTCCTGTATTTTCAGATGTATGGGTTTGGTGTCTGACTTTGAACCCGGCTACTGTGACTTACTGTCTGTATCTATATTGAATTGTTTCTATTCTTTTGTGTATTAATTTACTTATTCAAAAGTTTCTGATTCTACTCCTGATATGTGGAATTAACTAACCTGAGGCCCAAGTCGAGAGACACTCTCGCTTCAGAGAGAAATAATAATTTAAAATATCTATAATATCACCAAAATATAAACCTACACCCTCACATTAACTCATCACAAATAACCTCCCATAACTCATTTGTCACTCAACACCGTAGTCATTAAGAACAATACAATAATACACTTCATTATAAATAAAAAATGGTGTAGTCAAACATTGTCTATGACTACCAGGTTCAATAACAAAAAATACAATATTATCACTCACAGTTTTCAAAATAAATATACTGCTCATATGAATATAGACGAGTTGGTGTTATAAAGCTTTAGAGTTACAGTAACTTGAGCTCTTTACGGCAGGAATGTAAACATAATATTGGAACATTTTTACAAACTTTTCAATGAAGCTGATATCTATTGTTTGTAAACAAATGTCACACAATCGCGTTGTTCCTCATTCATTCATATTCTTGTGGTGACGGAGTGCAGCTTTCTCTTCTTCTTGTGATACTAGAAGCTCCTCTTCCTGCTTCCCTGAACCCTGTCCATGTTGTTGTTGTGGCCGCAGTTCGAGCCCAAAGGTGACTGTCAAGAGGTAAAGATGCTTCGAACCTTTGCTTGAAAATATTGGTGTCCACAACTGGATGGGTATTCATTTGACCCTGCCGGCTTCTGTGCGGACTTTTGTAGGCTTATTTTACTAATTTAAATACAGTGAGATACGTTTTAAATACGTTTTAAAAAGTTTTAATTATGTTTTAAAAATGTTTTAAATACGTTTTAAAAACGTTTTGAATATGGGCTAAAAACGTTATACTCAGCCCTAACCTTTATGCACTTAACCAAATCTAATTAAACTAATCCTAACTGCTCTATCCCCTCCTCTCCCTCAGTATGTTGCAATTTTAACGGAATTTACCATTCCGAAAAATTATGCAACATACTAGTCATATATTAAAAAAAACGTTTTGTTAACGTTTTCTATGGTTAGTCTTCGATAGGTTTTTCGTACGTTTCTCATTCGTGAAAACAGTTACATTCTTTACGTTGTGGGAAATATAGAGAGAAGGAACAGTTAAATGTGACTTATTCTGACTTATTCCAGGCCGATGATGTGTATGATTAACGAGAATAAAACGAAAATATGCTTTTTCGTTTGCTTTTCTCGGTAGTGGTATATCGCCCAGTAGCTCTACTTTGTACTGTATATCACCCGGTAGCTCTACTCTGTACTGGTATATCACTCGGTAGCTCTACTCTGTACTGTTATATCACCCGGTAGCTCTACTCTGTACTGGTATATCACCCGGTAGCTCTACATGGATCTGGTATATCACCCGGTAACCCTACACGGTACTGTTATATCACCCGGTCACCCTATTCTATACCGGTATATCTCCATATTCATATAATGATTATTGCTAGTATAATAACTACTGGATACGTTAACAAAACCCACGACACTAATATTCATATCCATCATTGTAATAATGTATATAATGTAACTGGAGAATGTACAATGGCCATGCGGTGAGCGTCACAATTACTGGGCTGATGTCACAACACACAGATGAAAAAAAAACATGACTTTTCGGTCCATTATAGACCATTAATTTACGAATTTTCGATTTGCTAATGGTCCTTTTGGACCGAAATCTCGTCACTTTACTCTCCTTTCGCATTTATGTTTTTTGTGTGTTTATAAAGAACATGAATTTTCCATACATAGCTAATTTTATATGTACAAAAATTTATGAATAAACATGTTAAATCAAAGAATCTATATTTATCAAAGTGAATTGGTCATTACGAGATTGGCTAATGAAACTAGAGCTTCTCAGAGTCTGTTTATCACTAACAAACCCCTAATGGAACCGATAGATATCCATTGATATCGATAGAACCGATATCAGTATCTCACAATCCTTATCCTGACCCCTTCCAAGTGCAATATAACCAGGCTAGCTGCTTCTGCTCATAGGTACCTTTGCCCTTCCCAAAAAGGGAGGGGAACAGAGTCATGAGGGGTCATAGGTCATAGCACTGACCTATCACGGTAAGGTTGACCCTGGCGTGGGTGGTGGTGAGCCGCTTGTAGTCAACTCTGCAGCGATACACAGCCTGGTCAGGGCGGCGGGTCTGGTTTAGGACGAGGGCGGCAGGAATAGTGGTCATGCTGAAGTGAGCTCTCTCTCCCAGGATCTGCGGGTCGGCCCATTCCTTGGGCCGAGAGTACACGCCTAGCCGCACGTCGTAGCTGGAAGAGGAACACGAATTGGGTTAGTGGATCCCCGAAGAGAGAGAGAGAGAGAGAGAGAGAGAGAGAGAGAGAGAGAGAGAGAGAGAGAGAGAGAGAGAGAGAGAGAGAGAGAGAGAGAGAGAGAGAGAGAGAGAGAGAGAGAGAGAGAGAGAGAGAGAGAGAGAGAGAGAAAGAGAGAGAGAGAGTGTGTCTATGGAAGAGCAGTGTCTGTAAGGAGATAGAGGGGACATAAAAAAGAGTTAGCGGTTGTATGAGCTGAATAGAATAAATATTCTAGAGGGGGGAGAAGGATAGCTACTATAGAAAGAGACAGACGGATAATTAGAGCCTGTGGAGGGGAAAGAGAGGGGAAAGAGAGAGGTGAGAAGGGAGAGAGGGGAGTTGGTCAATATGCGGCTGCATGGAAGGGGAAGCAAACAGGAGAGAAGAGACTGTGTGGATAGGCGACGTGAGGGTAGTGATAGCCACCAGGATAGAAGCTGAAGGGAAAGAGGGGGAAGGTAGAGGCCTCCTGTAGAGCTGTCAGAGCAGGAGAACACGTCCCTGGATAGATAGGCAAGGGGAAGGATACACCTGTCCCTAGGGAGAGCGAGAAAGAAACCGGGAAGAGAAATTTCCATGTAGAGAGAGGGAGAAGATGGTGAGAGAGAGAGAGAGAGAGAGAGAGAGAGAGAGAGAGAGAGAGAGAGAGAGAGAGAGAGAGAGAGAGAGAGAGAGAGAGAGAGAGAGAGAGAGAGAGAGAGAGAGAGAGAGAGAGAGAGAGAGAGAGAGAGAGAGAGAGAGAGAGAGAGAGAGAGAGAGAGAGAGAGAGGAAGGGAGAAGCTAATCTTCGTTACAGGAGAAAATACAAAAACATATATGAAAGGAAATAAGGCAATTACCTCGTGATTTATAGAGACAACTGAAATATAAATTTTATATCAGTCGTCAGTCTATTCTCAGGCACTGCTTGTGCAAGCTGCTCTTATCATCCAGGTATCCTCAGGCACTGCTTGTGCAAGCTGCTCTTATCATCCAGGTATCCTCAGGCACTGCTTGTGCAAGCTGCTCTTATCATCCAGGTATCCTCAGGCACTGCTTGTACAAGCTGATCCTGTCATCCAGGTATCCTCAGGCACTGCTTGTACAAGCTGCTCCTGTCATCCAGGTATCCTCAGGCACTGCTTGTACAAGCTGCTCCTGTCATCCAGGTATCCTCAGGCACTGCTTGTACAAGCTGCTCCTGTCATCCAGGTATCCTCAGGCACTGCTTGTACAAGCTGCTCCTGTCATCCAGGTATCCCCAGGCACTGCTTGTACAAGCTGCTCCTGTCATCCAGGTATCCCCAGGCACTGCTTGTACAAGCTGCTTCATCATTCAAGTCGCATTTGTAATTTTGTCCGGGGACTGTAATCACAAACTTTTTTTTATAAAGTAATTTAATAGTTATTCATGTTTTGTATAGAGCTAGGTATTGAGGTTTGTATATTAGTTTGTTTTGTATACATTTGCATTTATAAAATAATGTAAATGTCTGTCTCAAACATTGTTTTGTATTTACAGAATGATATAAATGTCTCTTAATCTATTTCCATACCTTTAATTAATGCTGAAAATGTCTATCAAAATTTACCGTGTTCCTAAAGAATTCTGTAAATATATATTATTTTATATCGTCTTGCACTTACGGAATGCTGTAAACGTCTCTCTCAAAAGTAACTTAGAACCAGTGGTATATGAACGTTTTACGACTCAAATAATGTTTTCCTCATGAACACAACGTCACCACATGCAGACGAGGAGTCACAATAACGTGGCTGAAATATGTTGACCAAACCACACACTAGAAAGGGAAGGGACGACGACGTTTCGGTCCGTCCTGGACCATTCTCACAATCGACTTGAGAATGGTCCAGGACGGACCGAAACGTCGTCGTCCCTTCACTTTCTAGTGTGTGGTTTAGTCAACACAATGTCACCACTGTAACTCTGCTTGGATAGTTTTTGTTGGATTTTGTTTTTAAATGTTGAATTGACAATAGTGCTAGACTTTTCGGCATATCATCCTCCGTAGGCTTATTTGGGACTCGAATCTACAGTAATGTTTGAATAATGTTATCGAATGGAGGTGACAAGGAGGGTTTTAATGCGTGATGAAGAAAATTTTCTTATAATTGATGTTAATATGATTTACAGTGTGTTTGTGTTAGCCAAGCAGAGCAAGGCATTGAGGGAGGGGGTACCGGGTTGAATATGTAGGTTGATATGTATGCAATGTGTGACGGTGGTGACCTTGTGTTAAGCGTGTGTATGTCATGTGTGTGTAGGAAGGGAAGGGAACTATCAGGGGAAAAGCGCCAAGCCATTACGACTATATAGCACTGGGAAAGGGGTTAGGATAAGGATTTGGGATGGAACGAGTTGAGGGAATGGTGCCCAACCACTTGGATGGTCGGGGATTGAGCGCCGACCTGCGTGAAGCGAGGCCGTCGCTCTACCGTCCAGCCCAAGTGGTTGGGGAATTATGTATAGAGAAACTCCCCCAATACCTCCCCTAAAGCATATTCCAACTGTCAATCATTATACTTGGAAAGCTTAGAACCTTCTTTCACTCTCCTGAAAGTGATTTAAGATAGCTGTTAAATCAATCAATGATTTCACCATGTTATGGTACAGTTGACTAGGGCGCGTCTGTGAACCCTCAGCACATGGATTCGAACCCTCAACAAGATTCCTGTCAATTTATACGACAAATAACCAAAGTTACAGACTTTGAAATGAAGAATGACAAAAGGGAAACCTGTCAAAGAAAACGCTAAGAGGAATAATAACAGAAACTTCAATGAGAGAAATGTGAATACTTTTTCATCTCAGAAAATCCTCTCTCTTACACAGGGATCTGAGTTCGGGGCTCGAACGTGACAGGAACACACACTATGGCTCTCCCCTCGTATTAACTCCCGACAAACAGTCCATCCTCTGAGCTGTGCCCAAAGGCTTCTTAATCCAACAGCCGTTGCCTTGTTTATCAACTGAAAACAGTTCACACATGCAGCACGTCCTCATCAACACAGACCAAATGCTCGTTAATCTACCCTGCCAGAACCACCTGGTTTATTAATAATGTTCGTTCACGTGCTCTCTCTGAATGATACCTTTTTAAAGGCTTCATCAATGTACTGCAAAGGCCCAGCCAGTACTCATCAGCCAGCCCATCCACATCAACCAGCCCATCCACATCAACCAGCCCGTCCTCATCAACCAGCCCGTCCTCATCAACCAGCCCCTACTCATCAACCAGCCCGTCTTCATCAACCAGCCCGTCTTCATCAACCAGCCCGTACTCATCAACCAACCCATCCTCATCAACAATACTCAAATGCTCATTAACCCACTCGCCCTTTTCATGACCTGATCAGAGGTCCAAGAGCGACCGAAACGTCGACCCTTTTCGCTACACGTGTGTGAGTTGGGCTACCGTTCCCTAGCGACGCTTTTGTGATATATTCTCTCAATATATTCATAACTTAGGAGTGGTTTTTCTATATGTATGTTATTATTGCTGGCGAATACATCTTAGTTTGCGAAGCTATCTGAGCTCACCTGTAGCTGATTGAGCTCACGTGTAGGTATTTGAGATCACCTGTAGCTGTCTGAGCTCACCTGTAGCTGATTGAGCTCACGTGTAAGTGTTTGAGATCACCTGTAGCTGTCTGAGCTCACCTGTAGCTGATTGAGCTCACGTGTAGGTATTTGAAATCACCTGTAGCTGAATGAGCTTACCTGTAGCTGATTGAGCTCTCGTGTAGGTGTTTGAGATCACCTGTAGCTGTCTGAGCTCACCTGTAGCTGATTGAGCTCACCTGCAGCTGATTGAGCTCACCTGTAGCTGATTGAGCTCACGTATAGGTGTTTGAGATCACCTGTAGCTGTCTCAGCTCACCTGTAGCTGTCTGATAATTCCCTCCTCCTAAGCACTAACATAGCATTATATTGATACCAAGACTTCATCAACACAGAAAAGGTCCTGAATCCCTTATAAACAATATGAACAACAATCCTAGAATGGTGGCTGTGGTGAATGGTATTTTGCCCTTAATTGTTTGCTATTTTAGTCAAGATTTATTTTTGCTGTATGTAGTGTATTATTATGAAGAGGAATAGAGATGTATCGATCCTTATATCCCTTCATAATTCTCACTATTTGTCTGAGCGACCTAATAGTTTGCTTCATATTGAAAGAAGTAATGTTTAAAATGGATTATAAAGAACCCAAAATGGTATCAAGTGAGTAAAAATTAAAAAAAAAAAAAGATGTTGGGTGTATATGCGCTGAATATACACCTTGCTTTATATGTATATATACCAATGACCAATCACCTGAGGGCTATAAGGCTTGCATGTTTACCTCGGCCTGTAAATGATCTTAGCAGCTGTCTTTGACTTTTTGATGCTGTTAGCAGCTGTCGTTCATCTTTAAATGCTGTTAGCAGCTTTCGCCCACTTGTAAATGATCTTAGCAGCTGTCTTTGACCTTTTGATGCTGTTAGCAGCTGTGGCTCACCTGTAAATAGTCTTAGGAGCTGTGGCTCACCTGTAAATAGTCTTAGCAGCTGTCACTCATCTGTAAATAGTCTTAGCAGCTGTCACTCACCTGTAAATAGTCTTAGCAGCTGTCACTCACCTGTAAATAGTCTTAGCAGCTGTCACTCACCTGTAAATAGTCTTAGGAGCTGTGGCTCACCTGTAGATGGTCTTAGCAGCTGTGGCTCACCTGTAAATGATTTTAGCAGCTGTTTTTTACTTTTTGATGCTGTTAGCAGCTGTGGCTCACCTGTAGAGGGTCTTAGCAGCTGTAGCTCACCTGTAAATGGTCTTAGCAGCTGTGGCTCACATGTAGATGGTCTTAGCAGCTGTGGCTCACCTGTAAATGGTCTTAGCAGCTGTGGCTCACCTGTAGATGGGTGTAGGCACGTGGTCCCGGTACCAGAGTACCAGCTGGACGGAGTCGTCACTGTTAATGGTGGAGATGTTGCAAGGCAACACTGCCGGAGACCCCGCCACCGCCACCGCCGGCGTCACAGGACCTGTAGTGGAGAGAACCACACACCTGTTACACACCTGCAGGTTTACACGAGAGAGAGAGAGAGAGAGAGAGAGAGAGAGAGAGAGAGAGAGAGAGAGAGAGAGAGAGAGAGAGAGAGAGAGAGAGAGAGAGAGAGAGAGAGAGAGAGAGAGAGAGAGAGAGAGAGAGAGAGAGAGAGAGAGAGAGACAGACAGACAGACAGACAGACAGACAGACAGACAGACAGACAGACAGACAGACAGACAGAGAGGGACCTGCTATATAGACAGACTTTGAACTTGGAACTCCTGAGTCATTTAAACCCTGAACACAAACCTTTTCTCATCCAATACGTCTCCTTCCTAAAGGAATCGAACCATTCGTTTAAAATGTGAAGTATTTGTACAAATTATAACACCTTAATATTAACGTTTTAAATCCCCCCCCCCCTCTCACTCGATAGGTAAAGTGCATTGCTTGGGTTCATTCAGCTCTCACTAGGGAAAAATAGTTGTTAGAAATGGTTGGAAATTAATACAAGCCACAGCGTAACCACATCGTAACCACATCGTAACTATAACGTAACCATATCGTAACCACATCGTAACCACATCGTAACCACATCGTAGCCATAACGTTTTGAACGGTACTGCCTCCTCAGAGCTGTAGGAATGCCATGTGAGATTAATTGGATTGTTATGAAAGAGCTACGTGAACTATAGTGGCATAGTTAACCTGTAACTAATAGTTACACTGTAACTATAGGGTTGTACTATAATTAATGACTATACAGTAACTAATTGTTTTACTCCAACTAAGTGTTGCACTGTAACTACGTTAAAATACAATTATAGAACCAAAGACAAAGCAATCATAACATCATAATACAACAGAGAATGTTTGAAAGCAATTTTGTAATTCTGTCATTATAAATTATATTATATATTAACGAGGTTTGCAAGCTTTTTTATGTACACAAATGGAATAATTTAAGTTTACATTTTCTCTCGTGTGTATTTATATATTGAGAACTTTATTGAATTATTTCATTACTATTTTATTAACAACCTTTTGTTTAAAATAATGGATATTAATGTAAAATAATATCAGAGAATATTTATATTATTTAAGATTGCATTAGTGTATTGGTAAATATTGATTTTAAATGATTTTTTTTATTTGTATTAATAATGATGATGTGATGAAGATAGACGGAGTAGCAATGGGCTTCACTCTAGGAGTGTTATTTGCTAATTTTTACATAGGCACCATCGAGGAAAGAGTTTTCAATAGCAGGTACAAATCAAGTAACAATGGGTATAAATTGGATAAGTTTAGATTTAGGACAGATTTGGGTAAATACTGGTTCAGTAACAGGGTTGTTGATTTGTGGAACCAAATGCCGCGTAACGTGGTGGATGTGGGGTCCCTCGATTGTTTCAAGCGCGGGTTGGACAAGTATATGAGTTGGATTGGGTGGTTATAGATAGGAGCTGCCTCGTATGGGCCAATAGGCCTTCTGCAGTTACCTTTGTTCTTATGTTCTTATGTTCTTAAGTATATATTGCCGTTATGTGGACGACATATTTATAATAATAAAAGACTTAGAAGAACTAACTGATCTAAAAAGCCATCTAAAAGGAGAGTCCGGACTCCGAATCAGCCATGAGAATAGTTACAATAACAGTCTACCTTTCCTGGATGTGTGAATAACAAAAACAGGAGACTCTCTAAGCACCAGCGGATACACCAAGTCTACAAACATAGGATCATGCCTAAACGGTAGGAGTGAGTACCCTCAAATATCTAAATTCAGTGTTCTCAATGCTTATATTCATCGAGCCCTTACCCACTGTTCTGAATAGAGCAACGTTACCTTACCTTGACGTTACCTTGAGGTGCTTTTGGGGCTTAATGTCCCCGCGGCCCGGTCGTCGACCAGGCCTCCTGGTTGCTGGACTGATCAACCAGGCTGTTAGACGCGGCTGCTCGCAGCCTGACGTATGAGTCACAGCCTGGTTGATCAGGTATCCTTTGGAGGTGCTTATCCAGTAACGTGAGTAGGGAGTGTTAAACGATAGCACAAGTACTGGTAAACAATGGCTATAATAACCACGAGATCATCACTACTATAAGATAACACCTGGACCGGTGGTACAATCCTGTACCAAGAACAGAAATCACAATAGCGTGATGCATCAAATGAACAAATTTACAAGGATTTCAGTAGTTAGTAAAATTCAGTAGAATTTCTGGTTGCAATTATTATACCATGTCATAGCTCAGTCGATTAAGGCAGCGTCTGGGATGCTCTCGGACGTAGGTTCGAATCCTCGTCACGGCCCTTGTGGATTTGTTCAGAAACTACAAAACCGCGACTAAAATTATATTACAAATCCACCACCAGTGTCTTGATGTTCTGAAACCTTAAGGGGACAGGCCGTCTAATTACCCTAGCACCTGACTTATGTTTGTGTACTTAGTTCATTTACCCATCACCTTAATTTACCTATAAATTTTTTCTCCTTTCTCCTGACTTACTTTTGTGTGTACCGGGCTTCCTAGTGTTGTTAAATCAGATGTTCCCTTTATATTTAGTCTAGTGAACACTGTGCCTCTATATCCGCCACGAAGATTATCTTATTAAAACAAGACTAAAACCGGTGCGCTAAAACAGAAGCGGAAAAGAAACGGGAAAAAAGGAGGAAACCCCACTTCTACTGAAAACTTTGGACCCAAAAACCACAATAATAAGATTATCACGAATAACCGAACTCACTTACGGGCTCGCCATACCCCGTGCTACATGGACATTTCGTTCTGAGTAGCTGAATCTAAAACAACAACATTATGTTTTGTGATACACAGCTCGTGTTATTAATGGCTGTACATCACAACCTGCCCACAACCTGTGTTTGACCTGCCCGAAACGCTGCGCGTACTATTGGCTTTACAAGATTGTAATTACCATATTATGTATCCTCACAATCCCAATGTACCTTCTTGTATATATATAAATAAATAAATAAATAAATAAATAAATAAACAACACGCCCGTGCCACCTCTTGGGTGGCTTAATCTTCATCCATCAATCTATGTCTTGTTATTCCTCACTTGAGAATAACCTTGTAGGTTAGAAACGGTGTAACATTATAATAAGTATACAGTTATTTTTTTTTATTCTTTGTCACCCTTAACCAATATATATATATATATATATATATATATATATATATATATATATATATATATATATATATATATATATATATATATATATATATATATATATATATATATATATATATATATATATATATATATATATATATATATATATATATATATATATATATATATATGACAGTGTCAGACCACGAAGGAAGAACTGAAACAGAAATTTCCTTAAGTACTTTCGTATTTAATAATAGATTTTCAGAAGGGTGAATATATATATATATATATATATATATATATATATATATATATATATATATATATATATATATATATATATATATATATATATATATATATATACAAATATATTATAGATCTTTTAAATAATTACACAGATAAAACTTATTTTACTTGTCCAACAATAGGACATTACATAAGGCTAAATATTTATTGTAAATTGTCGTTGAAAATTTATGTGGAAGCAGAAAATATCACGGAATATCCCTTGTGTAAATTGCAGAAGTTTTATATAATTTATTGCGGCTATTTCCCTGGGCCATGTGTCGTTATTTCAGCAATAAATATGTGATGATCTGTATTCACATTTCATCTGCATAATTTTAAGAGCTGCTAATATTTTTTTACCTATAATATGTGTTGATATTAATGCTAGTATTATTATTATTATCAATATTATTATTATTATCAATATTATTATTATTAGTAGTAGTACAATTATTATTTCCTGAATTTTTTGGTTTCATTTATAATTTTCAGACTATAATTTAACTCTAGATCTTAAGTCTAGATCTTAACTCTAGGTTAACTAGACTCTAGATCTACCTAAACCTGGCACCATCACAATGTAACCACACTATGGAACATACCAACTAAACTAAATTTAGTTATGCATCTAGTTGAGAATAGATTTCAAAGTTCTGAATAAATTTGGCAGAAATAATCTATATCTTCAGAGTCTAATTGAGTTATATGGATCATTTTACCAATAATGATGAAATCATAGGCGCTATGTCGTTCATAGATGACATATAGACTGTTAGATTTGGACAGTGTATAACTAGTTAATACATTAATGTAGAATTCTTGTTGGAAAATGTTGAAAATGAGGTTGTTGTTGACCTAAGTCTCAGGTCAAGGTGCTTGACCTGAGTCGTCTATAAAGTCTAAAGTCTTCCCTAGTATAGGGAAGACTTCGAAACCTATTTTGGACCCAAGTCATTTAAGGCAAAGCGCCTGGTAATCACCAGGTATATATATATATATATATATATATATATATATATATATATATATATATATATATATATATATATATATATATATATATATATATATATATATATAAGTAGCACCCGCACATTGTCATTTGTAAACAAAATATATATTGTTTAAAAGTGTAAAAACTGAACATAAAGCTAATTAAAACTTGCAAACTCTGAGTGAGTGGTGTTGAAGGATGAGAGTGAAGAGTTGTGGGCCCCTGACCACACCCTTGATGGGTCCCTTAGGGGTCCCCCATCATACTCCACCTGAGTATTGGAGGGTGAGAGGGAGAGGAGCCACACCACGCCCTCCTATACCACAGGAAAGGGGGGAAGGGAGGATGGAACACACTCCATGCTGTTCCATGATAGATATGGCAATTTTCGTATTGGCTCCCCCTTCTCCTTCCCTCTTCCATGCTATATAATGGTAGGAAAAGGGTAGGGGTATAGAACCTACATGATATACCTAGATAATTGGGTGAATGGAGGGCTGGTGCCTCAATTCTCCCATTAGTTTGGAACCCTAAGCAGGCTTCTCTTGGGTGACAA